ACTTGAGAGAATGAGGAGATGAGTTCCATTCAGTGGAGGTGCATTCCAAAGTCAACAGGGAGGACGGGCACTTTTTCAATAGAAACAGCAGTGCCCGTGGTGTCTTTTGAAATGGGCTGCATCCTGGGTTAAGCAGCCGTTATGGACGGTGAGGGAAGTAGTGAACTGCAGGGCCAGGTCTGGATTTATACCGGCTCAGTTAGGTAACAACTACAAGAACTGGGACAAGTTACTGAATTTCTGTAAATGTCAGTTTCCTTAGATCCCTACTGTTTAGTATTGTGAGAGTTGAATGAGATGAGGAAACAGGCTGTTAACTCATGGAACAGCAGAAAAAGTAGAGTGCAGTTTTGAGCTGGGGTGTAGGGACCCCACGGCCTTTGCACTGGTGCCCTCCCTATGTGCTCATCACTTCATGTTGAGAAGCTAGACATGCCCAGGGTCACCTGCATCTCCTGAGTGGGTTTCTTGATTATATAAATGGCCCAAAATGCTGTTTTGTGGTAGGAATCGCTATACCTTGTGAGACATTTCAAGGCTACTACAAGTAGGAAGAATTTCATTATAGAACTAGAAGCCCGATGCACAAAATTCATGCAAGGGGCTCAGCTCTCACAGCCCTGGCTTTGCCCGGAAGGCAGTCCAGCTGTCCAGTCTAATTAGCATATTATACTTTTATTGTTTTAGATGAGTAGAGCTCACAGTTATATATACTCTGTTGGGTTAATTTTAATTATTTGGTTATGATTTCAAAATCCATTTTTTGGTGTTTGATGGTACATATTTTCTTTTATAGCATATCAGAGTTATCCTTAGATTCAACCCTCCATGCCATCAATCTGCATTGTAACAACATCTCGAAGATCGAAGCCATTGACCATGTCTGGAATTTACAACATTTAGATTTGTCATCTAATCAAATCAGTCAAATCGAAGGGCTAAGCGCACTGACAAAACTACGCACTTTAAATTTGTCCAGCAATTTGATCACAAAAATAGAAGGTGTGTAAGTGATTTTCATGTAATACTTTGAGTAAGGAAGATGACTTAAGTCCATTTTTTTCCTTCACAGAAGAATGGGATAAATAGTAAACTGTTGAAAACTGACCCTAAAATTTATTATATAAAAATTTTTCTTCTAGAAAAGTATTTAGCCTTTTTCAAGTATTTTATAAAATACCAACAAAATTGATTTTACTGTTATTTAATTCGACTGTAGATTTGCTTCAAAAAGTCTGAAATGGTATTGCAGTACTATATAGCTTTAATAAATTGATTATTGAATCCTGTAAAAGCTTTATTTTATTTTATTTTAGGACTTGAAGCACTAATTAATCTGACTAGACTGAATTTATCCTATAACCACATAAATGATTTAAGTGGTAAGTAGATGCGCTTTATATATATAGAAGCCTAAGCGACTGTTAGAACTGGTTGACAGGTTGCTATGACGTGCATTGACCACCAGGGGCCTGACACTCAATGCTAGAGCTTCCCCCTGGTGGTCAGTGCACTCCCACAGCCAACCTCCCATGGCCGGCCAACCTCACGCAGTCCCTCCCCCAGCCGGATGGCCCTGATCGGCCCCCATCAGGGCCAGCTGGTAACATCCTGCGGTCCCTACCCTCTGCCAGCCGGCCCCGATAGGCCCAATCAGGACTGGGTGATGGGCAAGACAGCCCCGATTGCCGGCCAGGCCAAGGAACCCCTCCCGTGCACAAATTCATGCACCGGGCCTCTAGTTTTTCTATAATGCTGAATATTTGCCATGTGTGGTGAGTTAGAATGAGCTCAGCATGTCAGAAAGCTGAATAATACAATTTTTGACCAAAAATCTCATCTAGAGAATGAGTTGGTACCAAAGCTACCACTGAATGAAGAATTGGGATTAAAACTAGGGTGGTCTGTAACAGGACAAACTTGGATAGAAGGACCTCTTTTGGGGGAAATGGTATTTTAATCTTAGATAATTAATGAATATACTGTTCTAGAGAGGAAGAATTCCAATAGAACTTCTTACAGCGATAAAAACATTCTACGTTTGCGCTGCCTGTCATAGCACCCAGTGTGCCATGCGAGCATTTGAAATGTGCCTAGTGCACCGAGGAACTGGATTTGTCATTTTATTTACTTTCAATCAAACTTAAGTTTAAATTACAAAGCCACCTGAGGCCGTCCTACCAGATTGGACAGTATGAGTGTAAAGCATCCCAAAGGCCATTACAAATTGAAGGTCAAATACATGTTTTTTCTTTTTTACTTCAGTATGTCTAAAAAGGTAAAAAATTACCTACTTTTTAACTGATTAAAGTGATACACTGATAAAGCGAAAAAAAAGTTTCATAATTATTCATCAAATTATTGGATTCTCTATCTTCATAAACTCAATCGATATTTGAAACAGCCTTATTCATTCATTGGTTTTCTCCCCTACTAGAAAAATACTACCCTACGCCAGGTGTTTAGTATACAAAAAAAAGAAATGATCTAGTCTCTACCCTTAAGCTGAAGTAGCAGCAGTATTTTAAATTTTCCCCCCAAAGATGTGAAAGTATTAGGTTTGAGTATGGGCTGTAGGTCTGTCGGTCTGTCACTGTTGTGCGCTGTTGAGCAAAGTCTGTCACTTTTTGGATGCAGTTTCCTTATCTGAAAAATATGAATCTTAGATAAGAGAGTAATTTACTTATCAACAAATATTTATTAAAGAGCACCTGTGGACAGATAGAGTTCTTTTTTTATGATTTTTATTGATTTTTAGAGAGAGAGGAAGGGAGAAGGCTAGAGAAATGGAAACATCAATGAGAGAGAAACATCCATCAGCTGCCTTGATCAAGCCCATAGTCAGGGCATGTGCCCTGACCAGGAGGAATTGAACCATGACCACCTGGTTCATGGGTCGACCCTCAACCACGGAGCCGTACCAGCCAGGCTGGACAGATAAAGTTCTTGTAGGGAATGATTATGGAGCATCTAGAATTTACATCCATTACTGGTAGAATTCAAAGTAGTATAAGGATTTTGGAAAACAGTTTGAAGGTTTCTTATAAGGGTTACATGTACATTTATATGCAATCCCACTCTAGGCATTTACCAAAGAGAAATGAAAATATGTCTAATCAGAGACCTGTACATGAGTGTTTGTATGTTTATATAGCTTTCATATATCAGGTTCTGTGATATCTGTATCTCTAAAACTGGAAACCACTCACTTACCTGTCACCTGGTAAACAGAAATTGTGATGCAGCCACAAGATGGAATACTAAGGCCATAAAAAGGAACGAGCTCTTGATACATGCTGCAGCATGGATGAATCTAAAAAAGAATTGTGCTAAGTGAAAGCATTCACAAAAGGCTACCCTGTATGAATCCAATATGTGCCATTCTAACAAAGGCAAAGTTATAGGGGCAGAAAACAGATCATCAGTCGCCAGGGCTTGAACACGGGGAGAGAAAATTGCCTACATAGGGACACACTGATTGGGGTGGTGGAAATAGATGTTCTATATCTTAGTCATGGTTAAAAAAAACTATATGTTGGTCAAAGCACATGGAACTCCTCACCTAAGAAGTGTGAATTTTAGTGACTGTCTGAGAGAAGGAATATGAAGAAAATGTCATAGGCAACCCTGGAAGTTCTAATAGCTAATTCTTAGAATGATGTATTTTATTCAGAAACACCTCGCTAGAGAGCAGAGCGCGGCAGTGTGTGTGCTAGAGCATGTGGCACGCTAGGGCTCAAGCGAGCGAGTTGGACCTCGGAGCAGAGGAAGGAAGTGTGGCTGGAGCACAGCAAATGGGGTTCGTGTGCAGAAGAGAGATGAGCAAGCAGGCAAAGGGTGACGTTTGCATGTTGTCGTAGGTACAACAGGGGCCCTGGGAGGGCTTTAAACAAGTGACGTCGCGCATGTGTTAAGGATCACTTGGGCTGAATGAGGAGGGTGGGTGTTAGGACGGGAGTGGAGTCAGTGGGAAACTGCTCCAGGTGTCCAGAGAGAGGGTGAGACCTGGACTGGGTGGAGACGGGAGATGGCTAAATGCGTTTTACACGTGGAGGTCATAGGCCTTGCTGATGGGTGCGATGAGGGCATGGAGGAGAAAGAAATCCCAGATGATGAACACGAGTTTTCCCTGAAGTAACAGGCAGATGATGGTATTGCTTCCTTATGTGTGATGATTGGGGAGGAGCAGGTTTGAGATGGGGTGAGACGTGTATGTGTGTGTGTGCGCGCGCATGCGCACGCACGGGCACGTATGTGAGTAATCGGGTTAGAGCTGAGATCTGGCACATTCGTGGTGTTTGTAATCATGACACTGCGGAAGGTCCTGGAGAGCCTTTGGATGGAGGAGGGACACTAGGGGACAGCCAGTGACAAGTGTGTGTGTGTGTGCGTGTGTGTGTGTGTGCGTGTACATCAATGGTGTTGTAGCCATGACACTGCAGGAGTGCAGGAGGTCCTGGAGAGCCTTTGGATGGAGGAGGGACACTAGGGGACAGCCAGTGACGAGTGTGTGTGTGTTAGTGTAATCAGTTGGAGCTGAGATGTGACACATCGATGGTGTTGCAGTCATGACACTGCAGGAGGTCCTGGAGAACCTGTGGATGGAGGAGGGACACTAGGGGACAGCCAGTGACGAATGTATGTGTGTGTTTGTGTAATCGGGTTGGAGTTGAGATGTGACACATCGATGGTGTTGCAGCCATGACACTGCGGAAGTGCGGGAGGTCCTGGAGAGCCTGTGGATGGAGGAGGGACACTAGGGGACGGCCAGGAATGTGGAGCAGGACCTTACAGTGCAGCTGCATCTCAGAATGGCCCTTCCAAGAGAAGGGAGGCTGGGGCATGGTCCACTGACAAGCTCCCTTCTCCAGGGCTGAGGGAGCCCTGCAGGCACACTTTCGGGCTGCACCTTTGCTCAGCAAGCTCTACTTGGAAGCAGGTTCTGAGGCAGGAAAGAGAAATGGCCAGTTGCACCCCTGTGTCATAGCACCATAATTTACAGTAGCCAAGATCTGGAAGCAGCCCAGGTTTCTATCAGATGAGTGGATAAAAAAGCTGTGGTACATTTACACCATGGAATACTATGCGGCAATAAAAAAGGATCTCTTACCTTTTGGGACAGTATGAATGGACCTGGAGAGCATTATGCTAAGTGAAATAAGCCACTCAGAGAAAGACAAATACCATATGTGGAATCTAATGAACAAATGAGCAAAATAGTAAAACAGCCAGTGCTCTAGGGGTACCTGAGTAGGGCACATGAGGCTGTCAAGGTGGGGTTCCTGGCTTACCACACCCCAGATAAGCTGGGGCTACAGGTATTACCAGGGACTAAATCAAATGCTATTTGTATTTTATGCTCAAACCAACAATGGAAGCTTATTCAGTGTTTGCTTATCAGGAAGGAGCCTGGAGCCTTGCTTGTTCTATAAGTTCCTGCATGGCCTAGGAGGCCTGAGAGTTTTGTTTGAATGGAACTCATACCGGGGCCTCTGTTCTCAAAACAAGCGGACTTGACTGACCCTCTCCATGAGGTGCAGCTTCACAGCGAGGCCTCGCTCGCCCTGTGCCTTCGCCTCAAAGTAGAACCCACATCAAGTGTTCTGTGAGCTGTTGGGGAAATGGCTGCTGTGGCATCAGCAGGGTTTTCTCATCTTGCAGGTTTGATGCCCCTTCATGGAATCAAACATAAGCTTAGATACATCGACCTGCACAGCAACTGCATAGACAGCATCCACCACCTGCTCCAGTGCGTGGTGGGCTTGCACTTCCTGACGAACCTGGTTTTGGAGAAGAATGGCGAGGATAACCCTGTCTGTCGGGTGCCGGGTAGGACCCTCCAATTCACTGCGCTTTGTAACAGTGTTCACAGCAGCTGGTGCTTAGAACTTGCTTTTATTTGTCTTAAGCTTTTCAGCATTTTATTATGTATTTGGAAAAACATAATTGCAAAATAAAATTTTTTTTAGACAAACTAAGTTGCTATTAAAAGAATAACACAGCGAATAAATTAGTGACTCTGTTAAACAGTTTTAAATTTGACTAGAGGCCTGGTGCACGAAATTCGTGCAGGGGTGGAGGGTGGTCCCTTAGCCCGGCCTGCACCCTCTTGCAATCTGGGACCGCTGGTTCCTGACTGCTGGCCGGCCTGCCTGATCACCCCTAACCACTTGCCTGCCTGCCTGATTGCCCCAACCACTCTACTTGCCTGCCTGATCGCCCCTAACCACTTGCCTGTCTGCCTGATTGCCCCTAACCATTCTGCCTGCCTGGCTGATCACCCCTAACCACTCGCCTGCCTGCCTGATCGCCCCTAACCGCCTTTGCCTCAGCCCCTGCCACCGCGGCTTTGTCTGGAAGGACATCGGAAGGTCATTAAACTCTCCTGTCTAATTAGCATATTAAGCTTTTATTATTATAGATAAGTGAGTGCCTCAGAATTAAATTATCATTGTGAGATATTCTTAGAGTGTAACTCTAGGCAGTTATAAGTACCTCTGGTAGCTGACAAATTCAGTTGATTCTCCAAGTAATTAACTTCTTTAATGCATGAGTTTTCATTTTGAATATGTCTCCAGGGTACCAAGCAATTATGCTGCAGACCCTGCCACAGCTTCGAATCCTGGACTGCAAGAACATATTTGGTGAGCCGGTAGACCTATCACAGATAAACTCCTCAAGTCTGCAGTGCTTCGAAGGTCTTTTGGATAATTTGGTTTCATCTGATTCTCCCCTAAATATCAGTGAAGATGAGGTATGGTATTGGGTTTTCCCTAATACAAAGATGCCTTCAGCTTGTCCTTCATCAGCGCACATGTTGAGGGTCTGGTGGTGTCTGTCCTAGATCGCTGACGGCCTGCCGGTGGTGACGGCCCCCACGGGTGATGACATGGCCCCCCTGGACCCGTTTGCAAGTCCTCCGACTGACACGGGGCTGCCGTCTTTCATGTCCGTGTGCCCGCCTTCTGAGCCAGAGAAGGATCATCATGATAGCGATTTTCAGAATGAGATGAAACTTCAGAAATTAGATGATCAATTTTTACAGCTTCTCAATGAAGTAACTATTTTTCCTATTTTACTAAGTCCTGTGTTTGTTGAAGAAATAGTTCAAAAAATGTAAAGTGAAAATTGGTTCAAGTGGACATCAGAAACACTGTACTGCATTTGTGCACGTGTCTGTGTGTGTGTCTGTCAGTTCTTGTCTTTTCCAGAAGTGGGATTGTTACAGTCCCCGGGGCGGGAACAGTGATGTACTTTTCCCTCATTTCCTCGTCCTCCTCTAGACCTTTTACTGTGATTTCTGTTGTGCTTCCCCTATTTCTACCTGCTCCCCTATTACTTCAGACTCTCTCTGCACCTGCCTGTGAACGGGGGGATTGGGAGTCACTTTTGACCTCTTCTGTCATCTCTTTAGTTGTTTGATGGTCAAAACCACTTCTGGAACCCACAGCTGAATCCAAATTAATTCATAGATTTCCTCCTTCGACTCTACAGTAGATCTTCCCCAAATGAATCTCTACTTCCCTGAGTTACTCACTCGACTTTGCCCCTTACACTGCTGTTCAGGGTGAGCTACAGTCCTGGACTCGCTGCTGTCGGGGTCCCGGCCTCCCCCGAAAGGTGAGGCTGTTAGTCAAATGTCAGTTTGACCTCAAAATTTGTCATTTTAATACTTAATTATTTTCTGAAGCTGGAGTGGGGGTGGGAAGCAGACAACGCTTATGGGATGTTTCCGGTCGGTGGGTTTTTAATAATCCTGAACTATTGTCGTAGCTGTGGTACCAGCAGTGCCAGACAAACAAGGCCCCCGTAGGTGAGTGGGGGAGAGAGAGAGTGAGGCTGCCAGGGTTCCTCGTGCCGGAGTGCAGATTGGGTTCCTTTGGGGCCGCAGAGGAGGTGGTGATAGGGCTGGGCTGCAGCGCTGGCCTGGCGTGCTTTGCTGCTGTTGACATACTTCTGGGCCTCCGTCTCCTCAGGTTTCCTGCCCATCTTTTCTCGTGGCCGACTCTTCGACCAGCGTCAGAACTTAGATTTCAGCTGAACTTAAACATGAAGCGCACTTGGCAGCTTCTCTTGCACTCGCACATCTTTCTCACGATGGCCCGGTCCAGTAGGTAGGGTCACACTCACTGTCCTGTTCCCTAGAGCGGAAACCGGGAGACCTGAGTGTCCTCTGTAGGGGGGCCATTGAGCCTCGTGCTTGATGACCTGGAAATCAGTGTGGGCATGACTGTCCCTACTTTGTTTTCACTGCTATGTCGTGGTCCACTGTACGATATACCAGCGTTTATTTGTCATTGTCCTCCTGAGGTTCTGCCAGATTAGCTCCACGTCTGTGGCCGTTGCTGATAAGTCTGTGTGTGAACTTAGGTCTTCCCTTCCCTTCCGTGAACAGCTGGAAGCGGAATGTCTGGAGTGGGGCTGGGTGTGTGCTCAGTTACACGGGACACTGCCAGAGCCTCTGGGTGCCAGTGCACGCAGTCCCGCCAGCAGTGCCCAAGGGGCTGTGTTGCTGTCTCCGCCCAGTCCTAACCCCCCCCCCCCCCCCCCCCCCGCACTGTGCTGTTAGCACTGACCTCATTGCAGCCACTCTGCTGGCTGTGTTCTGGTGTGCACTGTGCTTGAATTTGCATGTCACTAATGGTCGGCAGAGCTGAGCACTTTCCATGGGCTTACTGAGTAGTCATAAATCTTTTGTGAAGTGTCTGTTCAAACTTTTTGCCCATATTTTATTGAGTTGCTAGTTTATTACTGGGTTATAAGAATTCCTTCGAGTCTCCCTGTGAGGGGGCAGTGCAGCTCCAGCCCATGCTGTCTCTGTTTGGGAAGGGAGAGAAAGCAGTAGCTGGCATCCCCACAGCTTCTCCAGGTGAGCGTGCTGGAGAGGCGGGAAGGGCTCCATGTGGCCAGCCACACACACACACAAGAATTCATTCTATATCCTGAATTCTGATGTCAGATATTGGTCATGTATTTGTCAAATATTTGTGGGTATTTTCTCACAAATTGTATCATTTTTTCTTTGATGGTTATTGCATTTGGTGCATTTTAAAATTCTTGGGTATCCCCAAGTCACCCAAGTCATGATGACATTGTCCTGTGTTACTCTCCAGAAAGCTGAGGTCTGTGCATGTGGGAAGCAATCAGAGTCCATGCCTCTCTGTGGGTGGGCAGTTTTCCCAGCACCACTTGTGGGAAAGGCTGTTCTTTCCTCCCTTGGGTGGTTTTGATGCACCGAAGGGTCACAGGTTCAATTTGTAGGCAAGAGCATGTACCTGGGTTGCAGATTCCATACTACCCTGGTCGGGGCACATACAGGAGGCAACCAATTGATGTGTCTCTCTCACATCATGTTTCTCTCTCTCCCTCTCCCCCCTTCCTTCCACTCTCTCTAAAAATCAGTGAAAAAAATATCTTCGGTGAGGATTAACCAAGCAAAAATAAATACATAAAATAAAAAATTATATGACCTTATAAATTATAGAATCTATTTCTGGTCCCTTTTTTTTGTTTCTTTGTTCTATTGTTTTTTATCTTATGCCAAAACCACATTGTCTTGATTTTTGTTTCGTAGTAATTTTATAAGTCTGGTAATGTAAGTCTTACAATTCTTTCTTTTTATTCCCCAAATTATGTTGGGTATTCTACGTTCCTTGCATTTCTTTAAGCTTCAGAATCAGCTTGTCTGTTTCTGAAAAATTTATATCTTAATATTGAGTTGTAAATTTGTGAACTTATCTCTGTTATTTAGGTCTGTTTCATTGTTCTCAGCAGTAGTTTTCAACATACAAGTTTTACACATCTGTATAAAATTTTGTATTAAATTTTGTTTTATAATTGTTTGTAAACTGAACAACTTTTGTAGCGTTGTGTCCCACTTGATTGCTGTTTGTACGTGGAAGTGTGGTTGATTTTTGTGTACATGACTTGTGTCCTGTCACCTTGCTGAATGTATTAGTCTAGTCCTTGTTCTATGTCTTGCTGATGATTTTCTACATAAACAATCATCCACAGACTTCTTCCTTCTTCCCTGATCTCTGTGCTGCTCCTTTTGCTTTATTGCAACGGCTGAGGTCTCCAGTGCAGTGCTGACCGAAATGGTGAGGTGGGCGCCTCCTGGCCCAGAGTGCTCTCTGTGTGACCGTGAAGTGTGATGCTAGTGGTACGTTGTTCATAAATGTCCTGTATCAAATCCTTTACTTCTGTTCTGCATTTTCTGATGGTGTTGAATTTTTTTTTCATCAAATGTTTTTGCATCTATTGAAATAATCATGATTTTTTTACTCTTTATTAAGCGTGCCGGGAGCGCTATCGCGCTCCTCCTGCAGTGTCACTATTAGGTGCTAGTAGTTCACTCTTTATTGACAGATGGCACCTAAGTGCAGATTACTTATGATGCCGAATGTTTGTAGTTCTAAAATTGACCACTGGCATTTATCTGCCTAATTTTTTACAGGTACTACGATTTTATGAAGGTTTTTTTCCTAAACTGCTGTAAAATCAGCAAAAATGCCTTGGCAATGGGTTAATATAATAGGATGAACTACATTGATTAATTTTCAGATGATAAACATTGCATTCTTGATATACTAGTATGCCTCATTTAATCACGATATATTATCTCTTGTATATATTCCTGGATTCAGTTTGCTGGTACTTTACAAGGGTTTTGATGTCTTTGCTCATGAGGGATATTGGTTTATACTTGCATGGTAGGGTCTTTGGTTTTCATGTTTGGGGCAAGCTGCCTAGTAAATGAGGTGAGAACTGTTCCTCCTGCTCTGTGTTCTAAGTGTTTGTAAGACTGGAATTATTTCTCCCCTAATTGTTCAATAGGGTTCACCAGTGAAATCACCTGGGCCTGGGAGGTTCTTAATGATGAATTCAATGTTTACATAATTCAAAGGCCACTCTTTGTTTTGTCTTATTCAGTTTAGCTTGGCTTTTTGTTGATTTCTACAGAAATCAACTTTGTTCATTTTATCTACTTTTTCCCACAATATCAACTTCTACATTTTATTTTTTCTTCTACTTACTTTTAATTTATTCTTCTTTTTCTAGCTTCTTAATGTAAATGCTTATTAGGTTATTGATTTTGGACATGTTCTAACCTAATCATTCAAAGCAGTAAATAGTCCTTTAAAGACTGTGTTAGCCACATTCGACAAGTGTCTCATTTACTTCTGTTTTTTCAGAGAGCCCATTCCAGGCTATTTCCACGAGGCTTCTCTGGCCCAGCACGCCTGTCTCGGTGGCTGTCATCTGGGCCTCGCGCAGGGTGTGTGTCTGCAGCTGTGGCCTCACGCTGGGAGCTGCACGGCACCTCAGGGGATTCCTGGCTTCCTCACGGTTTGCAGTTCTGTCGGTTGCATGCAAGATGTTAAACGTCCAACTCTGACTTGGATTTGCCAGTTTCCCTTCAACTTTCTTAATATTTACTCTTGGTTTTCAGCACTTTGGCTGCATTGTGCTTAAGGATGGGTTTCTTCATGTCTGTCTGCTGACGGTTTGTTTCTCTGAGCATTTTAAACCCAGTGTATGGGAACTTGCAGGCATTATTTCTTCAACTCTTTTTCTGTCCCATTCTCTCTCCTCTCTCTTCAGAGTCTACATGCTCTTTGCCGTTGTCCCACAGTTTTCTGAGACTGGATATCTTACTAACTTTCTCCTCGGTATTCTTCACACTGAGTAATGTCCACTGTGCCATCTTCAGGGTCACCGATTCTTTCTTTTGTCACCTCATTCTTCTGTGAAGCTCAGCCAGGGAACTTTGACTTCAGACGTTGTACTTTTCCGATGTGAAATTTCCTCTTTTTAAAAATAATTTCTGTTTCTCTGCTGAGCTTTTTTCTCTCTATTCATGACGAGGATACTTTTTAGGCCACTGAGCACAATCGGGTCTCCCTCCACTGCCTGTCTGTTCTCCTGGGAGTAGTGAGGCTGGCTGCTCCTGGGGTGGGTGCTGCTGGGTCATTCTGGATATTGTGATGTTACGCTGTGGAGAGTCGATGTCCCGAGCAGCCTCCAGGGTCCCTGTTTTTGACTTGAACTGTATCACTTTGTCTCTTGGGCTGCTTACTGTTGTCCTTCACTTGCCATCTCTGCACTGTCCTCTGATTGTATAGACCCCAAAGCCTGACGTTTTTACCTGAGTTTTGGACTTCCACACAGCACTTGCTGGGCTACATCCTCACCCCTGCACAGTGCTCGCTGGGATACATCCTCACCCCTGCACAGCGCTCGCTGGGATACATCCTCACCCCTGCACAGCGCTCGCTGGGATACATCCTCACCCCTGCACAGCGCTCGCTGGGATACATCCTCACCCCTGCACAGCGCTCACTGGGATACATCCTCACCCCTGCACAGCGCTCGCTGGGATACATCCTCACCCCTGCACAGCGCTCGCTGGGATACATCCTCACCCCTGCACAGCGCTCGCTGGGATACATCCTCACCCCTGCACAGCGCTCACTGGGATACATCCTCACCCCTGCACAGCGCTCGCTGGGATACATCCTCACTCCTGCACAGCACTCGCTGGGATACATCCTCACTCCTGCACAGCGCTCACTGGGATACATCCTCACTCCTGCACAGTGCTCACTGGGATACATCCTCACCCCTGCACAGCACTCGCTGGGCTACATCCTCACCCCTGCACAGTGCTCACTGGGATACATCCTCACTCCTGCACAGCGCTCGCTGGGATACATCCTCACCCCTGCACAGCGCTCGCTGGGATACATCCTCACCCCTGCACAGCGCTCGCTGGGATACATCCTCACCCCTGCACAGCGCTCACTGGCCATATCCTCAGGCTAAAACCACAGAGACGGAAGCACCCCGTCTAGTTATTTTCCCACGTGTCAGTTACTCTAGAATAAGCTTGTATTTGTTCATTTCTCAGGGCCTACAAGTAGTTTTTGTTTGTTTTTTTCTTTTTATTTTTCCAAGAGTTTATAATTGTTACCTGAGAGAGTCCACCCATAGGAGCTTACTTGTCCACACCAGAAGCTGATTCCCCATGTTTAATTCCAAGCTTTCTGACTTTACAGACCTTGACCTTGTAAGAGCCCATCATAGTGTAGGAGATTTCAAATTTTAGTCTTTTATACCGAATCAAACTTTGTTGGTTTTTTATTCTAGACTTCTAGCTCTTTAATAGATAATGTTCCCGAGAAAGACCTGATACTGAAAAGAGACATGGATATAACTTCTGAAAGTGACTATGGCAACAGAAAAGAATGCAATAGAAAAGTTCCTCGAAGATCAAAAATCCCATATTATTCCAAAACAATTCAGACTATTAAGCACTACAACAAGAACAGCAACACTTCCATAAGGTACTTATTTCCGATTTAGAAATTCAGACAAGGCCCACACAAGTTACTACTGCACTTCCTCCTCAAGCTCTCTACTTGCCTAACAGCAGCCACAGGCTCTCAGCCTTGCCACTCAGACTTGCTCTGTGCATCCGTGTACGTTTATACAGAACCATCCCTTTCTCTGGGATAGAGTGTCCTTCACTTGTGGGAAATATAAACACTGCACATTCTGTGGGTTATTTTCTGTTTCGTTCTTTGCAGTTACAGTCGTAAAATGAAGCAGCCTTTCTTTAAAGACTTATACGTATGTTCCTCTCTGGCGAACTGTAGCCAACTGGAGGAGGTTGAGGAGCCGAGGACTGAGCTGATGCAAGTGAACATCAGTTGCCCAGAGGACACCTACCGGGTAGGGAAAAAGACTCAAGAGAAATGCATGCAAGTGACCCTGGGTTTAAGTTTAAATACAGGTAGTCCCAGAAAAATAGTGCATGTTTTTATTAGCAAAAAGTATTGTGTGTGTTTTTATTGGAGTGATGGGAATTATTTTTCCTTCCTGGTTTCCAGATGTGTGATGTTATTATTTGTGTAATTTTTGAAGATAGGGCAATTACACACTTACTTAAATCAGATTCCAGTGAGACCCTGTGTTAAGTTTCCTGTGGAGAAGACGGCCTGTCTAAATGTTCACGTTCTTATTCCCGGCAGTGCTTCCTAACTTCTGGCTCTCAGACACCCACATGTCTAAGGAAATCTGGGGCTTCGCCGGGAAGTCTGCCCTTAGACACCCCACAGGCGTGGTAATTCAGGGTTTTCAGGACTCTCCCGAAACCCAATTAGGGGTCCGTGGATTCCAGATTAAGAGGCATTTAAAAATTTTAAAATTCTTCAATATTTGCCAGAATCATTCTCATGTTGTTAAGAATTTTTGGTGGACTGATTTATTTATAGCTTTATTAACTTGCCCTTATTTTACTTGTGAAGTTCTGGTTTTGATTGTGATGTCGCTGTTCTTCCAATAATATAATTACTTCTTAAACTGTTTCACACCTTTTGTGCTATTGGTTTCCTCCTCTTCTTTTCAAGTACAGAAGCTTGAAATATAATTGAGGAAAATAATAGTCATTGTCATGACAGTGATGGTAGCTACCCTTTCCTGAGTGGTCATTACGTGCCTGGCACGGTCTGTACGCTTCACTTCCGTTAATTTGTTTAACCCTCCCCACAGCCTCTGAATGAGGTGCTGCTATTTCCATATTATAAATGAGAAAATTGAGGCAAGATAATTTTTCCAAGTTCACACAACACTATTATTTTCTTTCAGATACTTGTTGAGCAGCTAGACCAGGAGAGAGAGAAGAGGTGGAAAGCTGAACAAGCTGAAAAGAAGCTCATGGATTATATTGATGAGCTGCATAAGCATGCAAACGAAAAGAAGGACAACAACAGCCTGGCTCTGCTCACCACAGATAGGTAAGGGCGCAGCCCAGCCTGGAGCAGGGCCTCGCAGCAGAACCCTCCATTTCAGCCGGCTGAAGTGAGATCAGAGCCGTGTTGTGGCTACAGCATCAGTGCTTCAGCAGCTTGTTCAGAACAAAGAATGCAGGCCCCGTTCGTTTGGGCTCAGCCAGAGGGGTCAGGTAGATGGATACACCTGCCGAGTGAGGACCAGCAAGCGCTCCCGGAAGGCACAGGCTGCACCCTCCGTCCTGCTGGCCAGGAGGGCCACACCCCGCACAGTGCCTGGAACCAATGGCTCAGCAGAGCTTGCCGACGAAGGAAGTTCACATACGATGACGTTTCATTCATCCAGGAAGTGTGTTGTGCCTTGTGGCACAGTGTTAGCTTCAGGGGTGGGAGAGGGGCGTGGACTCTGATTTTCAGCCTTTTTTTTTAATCTAGTGAGAGTTTGAAACATACTGCATTCTTCCTCTCCACTGTGACCTTTGATGTTGACTACAGTTTTTCTCTTTAAATGAGTAATATATGCATCTGATTTCTGTTTTAGGTTAAAGGAGATTATTTTTAAAGAGAGAAATTCCAAAGTGCAACTCGAAGTTATGGTTCACAAACTTCAAAATGAAATTAAAAAACTGACCATTGAATTAATTAAAGCGAGAGACCAGCAAGAGGATCACATCCGACACCTGAGAGCCCTGGAGAGAGCGTTAGAGAAGATGGAGCGGCAGAAAGGGCAGCAGCAGACGGCACAGGTATTGCTGTCCCGTCGGGCAGCCTGGCTCCGGCGGAAGCAGCTCTGGTTGTCCGGTAGACTGGAGGCGAGTGAGCTGTGGAGTTACTGAATGAAGGCTCCTGCACTCACAAGGCCATCAGCAGACTTGGTGGACGTGTTGCAGGTTGCTAGGCTGTGTTCCCAGAGCCAGGACGTAAAGGCTCTGGGGCAGCTGAAGGGTTGTTGTTTTTTTTAATGAATTTATTGGGGTGACATTGATGAATAACATTCTATAGGTTTCAAGTGTTCAGTTCTATAGTACATCATCTGTATATTTTTCTCTTAATCCCTTCGTCCATTTCACTCAGGCCTGCAACCCCCCTCCCCTCTGACAGCCGCGCCAGTCTGTTCTCTGTCTCTGCGTGTCTGTTTCTCTTTTGATCTCAAGGTCCCTCACTTCACACTTTCTGATCTGGATGAGATGAGCAGCAGACAAAGCGAGTGTCGCTGCTCTCAGGGCTGTCCCTGATGTAACCACAGCATCATCACCTAGGACAGTGGTCGACAAACTGCGGCTCGCGAGCCACATGCGGCTCTTTGGCCCCTTGAGTGTGGCTCTTCCACAAAATACCGACTTCTGCGCCTGGGCCACGAAGTTTCAGTTGCACTGTACGTGCGCGCCCGCACGTGGTATTTTGTGGAAGAGCCACACTCAAGGGGCCAAAGAACTGCATGTGGCTCGCAAGCCCCAGTTTGCCAACCACGGACCTAGGACATTTTGAAAGTCAGTTTGGGAACTAGGTTCTATTATTTAGAAGGCACTTTTCCTGGGGAACTGGTAATGGAAGCAGGGAGTTATTGTCTTAAGTACTATAATTGTGTGTTTTCCCCAGATGCGGCTTATCGAAGAGGTAGAGCTCAAGGCGGCGGCTGCCGACCGAGAAATTAACTTACTTCGAACTTCCCTTCAGCAAGAAAAGGAGCAGGTGCAGCAGCTTCACGAGCTTCTTGCACTGAAGGAGCAAGAGCACAGGTAAACGCTGCTGGCGTGGCTCAGTGGTTGGCTTCGACCTATGAACCAGGAGGTCACAGTTCAATTCTCAGTCAGGGCACGTGCCCGGTTGCGGGCTCGATCCCCAGTGTGTACAGGAGGCAGCCGATCAATGATTCTTTTTCATCATTACTGTTTCTATCACTCCCTTTCTGAAATCAATAAAAATATATATATTTTTAAAAAGAGCACAGGTAAATGAAAGGGCACCAGGCAGTGGGGATAGTCAAGCAAAGGAAAGAAGCTGCTTGGTTCTTCCTCCTCCCCCTCACCCCCTCCCATCTCCCTCCACAGACAGGAGCCAGGACTGAGCAGTGGGAGGCTAGTTGCAGAGCACATGGGAGGGGCTGCTTGTGTATGTGGTAGGGTCCCCTCCTAGTGCAGTGGCAGCTCACAGACACAGGTGACTTACTGAGGTGTGGGCACTTCCCTGGAAACTGTTCCTACATTTCTGCAAATCCAACCTAAAGTTGGTCATTGGCATGTGCCAAAAACTGTTTTATTGGATCTCCAAGTGACACCACGCTCAGTGGTTCTTTACTCCTGTGGAGCAGCTGCTAATTGACGTTTCCTTCCAAGGGCCAGATAGAAAGGATTCCAGCCCAGCTGGCGGTGCTCAGTGGTTAAGCGTTGACCCAGGAACAATTCCTGGTCAGGGCGCATGCCCAGATTATAGGCTCCATTCCCGGTGGGGGGCGTGCAGGAAGCAGTCGATGTTTCTCATCTGTTTCCATCTCTCTATCCTGCTCTCTTCCTCTCTCTTTAAAAAATCAAAAACACGCCGAAACCGGTTTGGCTCAGTGGATAGAGCGTCGGCCTGCGGACTGAAGGGTCCCAGGTTCGATTCCGGTCAAGGGCATGTACCTGGGTTGCGGGCACATCCCCAGTGGGGGATGTGCAGGAGGCAGCTGGTCGATGTTTCTCTCTCATCGATGTTTCTAACTCTCTATCTCTCTCCCTTCCTCTCTGTAAAAAATCAATAAAATATATTTTAAAAAAAAAATCAAAAACATACCAATAGAAAAAGAAAGAAAGAAAGAAAGAAAGAAAGGGTTCCAGGCTTCACAGGCCACAGCTAACTGCCTTCCCTGCAGACAGGACTTAAGCCAGTGGGCGTGGCCGTGTTCCCGTAAAACCTTGTTTACAGAAGAGGGTGGCAGGCCAGGGGAGCCCTGGGCCTCAGTGCAGCGCCCTGCTCTGAGTCCCCAGCCATGGGAACACTTTCGGCTGCTTGTCTCCAGCTGCCCCCAGCCAATTCTGTGATGTCATGTAGAAATTAAATACTGATGCTTAGGGGGAAATTGGCATCCTATGTATGGGTAGGACAGGTATGAAAGATTGAGGGAAAACAAAAGCAATGTATAAATTTGTACTTAGTTTCTTTTACATATCTTTTTTTTTAGCATCTTGTTCTAGTTTAAAGAAACCCAGACTGGAAATAGTGGATTTTGTATTAATGGCTTGGTTTATTCAAGAAAAAATAGTGGTGAACTCAAAGGAATGAGCTCACATTTAAAGAAAAAACTGGCCTTATATCAAAAAAGATTGGTGAATAATTTCACAGTTTAACTGATTTTTTTTTCCTTAACCAACCACTAGTACCAGTCAGGCTGCGTTTATTGTATGTCAAAGACTCAGAGCCGAAGGCACAGGGCGGGAGAGCTGCAGGTGCGGCTAGGAGCCACGGCGCTGTCCAATGGGCCTGAATGTCTTGGGAACTTACACCAGGGCCATGCCTCTGATCCCACCCGCTGAGCACAGTCAAGGAAAACTCATTCCTTCTCTGTCCTGGCACAGTTTCTGTGTTTGAAGGTAGGGAGCTCATCTTAGAGGACAGTTAGGGACTATATAATATTTAATAAACTTTAAGGTTTTTCTTTCCAAGGGAACAGCATTCTGTGATTGTTGTTTGTTTTTCATTCCAGGAAAGAACTTGAAACAAGGGCGTTTTTCAGTGATGCTGAGTTCCAGGAAGCCATAGCCAAGGAAGTGGCAAAAGAAGAGGCAAAGCATGAGCAAGAGATCAAAGGATACCAAGAAAAAATCGACACATTAAATCATCAGTACCTGGATTTGGAGAATGAATTTCGTATTGCTTTAACTCTCGAAGCCAGAAGATTTAAAGATGTAAGAATTGGCATTTAGGTTCTTACTGAAAACAGAACCAGCAGATATGGGGTGATAAGAGGACCCCACCTTAGAGTTGTAGGTCTGTGGACATGTTGGCTATATGGCCTTAAGCAGATCACTTAAATTCCTAGAGTCCCAGGGTCCGCACTGAGATCACCACTACTCTCCCTGCTGTTCCCAAAGCCCAGTCAGATTGTGGTGGTCAGGCTCGGAGCACGGGAACCTGGGTTCTCCCCTGTGGCTCTAGGGCGGGGATTGCAGCCAGACCCCGGCCTCGGCCTCTGCCTCGTGCTGAGCACAGCCGTGTTCCGGGTGGCACACAGCAGCACTGAGTGCTATCATTACTTTATTTTGCTAAACCTCTGAGATTCTAAACATGAAAGAATTGGCCCTAGCCGGTTTGGCTCATGGGTAGAGTGTTGGCCTGCGAACGGAAGGGTCCAGGGTTCGATTCCGGTTAAGGGCACATGACCAGGTTCCAGGCTCGATCCCCAGTAGGGGGTATGCAGAAGGCAGCCAATCAATGATTCTCATCATTGATGTTTCTATCTCTTTTTCCCTCTCCCTTCCTCTTTGAAATCAATAAAAAATATATATATTAAAATAAACATGAAAGAAGTTGTTTCCAGAAACAAATATTTTCTAAATATTTGGAGAACTGCTATTTATAATGCAATTTTGAAATATAGGTTAAAGATGGTTTTGAAAGTGTTGCAACTGAGTTAGCAAAGAGCAAGAATGCTCTTGTCTGGGCTCAACGGAAAGAAAACGAGTCTTCCTCTTTAATTAAAGATCTGGCCTGCATGGTGAAGGAGCAAAAGACAAAGCTTGCGGAAGTCTCCAAACTGAAACACGAAACAGCAACAAACTTGCAGGTAAGACATTGTAACACTGTATTCTCCTTCTGTTTGCTATGTCATTTCCCAAATGCCTGCAGTGATTTAGGAAGTGCACAATGTTGAACTTTTAAATAATACTAATTATGTACTTGACATGTTTGAAAAGTAATAGAACTGGGAGGTTAGCTAATTTACCAGAGTGCACTACATACGCCAAGATAGTGTTTAAGCATAATAAGTGAATTAACTAGGAAACTAAGTAGCTAGTATACCGTTGCATAGCGAGAGAAGAAATTGTGACGGTGATGCTCAGATTGTTGAGTTTTGGGAAATAGCATGTGGGTTGCTGGTATTAACTTTTGTAGTAGTGGTTTTTTAGACGTACCCACACATAATCTAAATTAATGTCTGTTGTCGCCATTTTAAACATTAGAGATATTTTGCCAAGAGAACTTCCTTTCTGCAAGTGACCTCTAGGCCAGCAGTTGCCAAGCGGTGGTCTGCGGACCACTGGTGGTCCATGAGGTCCGAAAGGTTGGCGACCGCTGCTCTAGGTGACTCATATAAATGTTGAGAAACTTGGAATATTACAGGTGTGGTTGCTCTTAGGGTGTTAGAATAAAATTCAGAGTGTTTGAAGGAGTGGCCTCTTATACTTTGACTTCATTTTCTGACCTACATGTATCTTTAGTTAATAAAACTAAAACTTATTCTGATGTAAAATTGAGGAACATTTACTTGGTATTTGCTTAAATAACATTTTTCTTATGATAAAATGCAAGAAAGTAGGAATAGGAGCATTGAAGTGTAACAGCTGCTTTGCGTTTTCCCATGTCTGGGGAGTATACAGAATCAGATCAGCACCCTTGAGCTCCTGATCGAAGACGACAAGCAGAAGAGCATCCAGATCGAGCTGCTCAAGCACGAGAAAGTCCAGCTGATTGCCGAGCTCGCAGCCAAGGAGTCACTCATTTACGGTCTCAGGACGGAGAGAAAAGTGTGGGGACAGGAGCTGGCACAACAGGGTAAAATTCTCAAATGTCAAAGGGAAACTAGCCCATTTTGCTAAAGGAGCAGATCTGTATATAGGAGAGAACAAGGGAGGGCTTTCCTGCCCCACGACCCAGGGTCAGGGCCACCTCCCAGAAACAGGAAGTGGCTTATTGTACCAGGCGCTGCTCTGAGTCCTGGCTGGCTTTCCTCCTGGTGGTATAATGGGTTACTTTTCTCACCAGGTCTACCTTTCCCGTGCTACTGCTGAATTAAGTTGTTGAAAACATTTCTTTCTCATACAGTAATTTTACATGGTTTCATACAGATGCCGCACTCAGTTCTTTTCTAAACATGTTGCTAACAGCTTGTTACACATGGAGAAATGCTAAATGGCATGTGGATGAAAACCACCATCGGCTTAGGTGAACCTACCTCAGTCCATTCCACTCGAAATCTGCCCAGCGGAGGTGGCTGTGTAAGGCACCACATTCGCTCCATGGTGCTGGCTTTAACAGAGCGTGGCTCACCTGTCATTCTACATGGGATATCACGCGTGGTCTGGCCGTGGGTGTGCATTTTCCTGACCAGTTAGATAGGACCGCCTGTCACTTGTCCGATTGTGGCTCAGGGTTTCACACAGCACAGGGCTGATGTGCCTTTTGTTTCTGGCCCTTTCCTCCTCATACTGTGTGCTGTTGCAGATCTCATTTCTGTAGACAGCTTTCCTTTGTACTCATCTGTTACACGCTGTGGAATTCGATGTTCATAAGAGACAAACCCTCCATCTCCTAAGTTTGCCTCTGTGGTGTTTGCTTTCCAGGATCCTGTCTGGCCCAGGACCGCGGGAAACTGGAGGCGCAGATAGAAAGTTTATGCAAAGAGAACGAGTCTCTGCGGAAGACGAATGAGCAAGACAGCGACACGCTGCGGATTAAGTGCAAAATCATAGAGGACCAAACCGAGACCATCGGGAAATTAAAAGCTGTAAGTTTGGCGTTTGTTTTGGGAAGACAGCATATGGCAGGTGTGAGAATCTGGATCAGAGTGGAGTCTCCAATAAATGCTTTGTCTGTGCGAGTCCAGCTGTTGTGGAGTTTAAGACAGATTATCATGTGTTCCTTTTGCAGTACTTTCCTCTTTGCTTTTAAAGGTGATACGTGGCATTCATTTATTGACTTGAACTTACATTTACTTCAAGGTTTTATGAAGAATGTTGTTATTGCCCTTTGAAATAACTAGAAACAGTCTTGATGAAGGGTTAGGAACCACAAGAAAATAAACTTTTTATATGTCTAAAATATCCTTTCAAGCATTGCTTAATATCTCTCAATACTGCTCTCACTTCTCAAACTTATGACAAACCTACTCTCTTGTAGGTGAAGGTATATGACTAGATTGCAGGATTCATGCTTGTCCCGAGGCCACCATGTGCCAGTTGTACCCACCTCTTCTTACATGGGCCCACCTGAGAGAATGCTAACAGAATCACTTATTTCAACGTGTAGAAAATCTCCAGAGAAAGTTTCTGAAGATTGTCCTGAGCACTAAAGCAAACTTAAATTCCAAACTTTTCTTCTTAAAGTGTAAAAATAACTGAAAAGGGAGTTTTCATTTTTTAAATTTTTAAAATATATTTTTATTGAATGCAGAGAGAGGAAGGGAGAGGAAGAGATAGAAACATCAGTGATGATAGAGAATCACTCTTCGGCTGCTTCCTGCACACCCCCTAGTGGGGATCCAGCCCACAACCTGGGCATGTCGAACCATGACCTAGTCCAGGGGTGGGCAAACTTTTTGACTCGAGGGCCACAATGGGTTCTTAAACTGGACCGGGGGGCCGGAACAAAAGCATGGATGGAGTGTTTGTGTGAACTAATATAAATTCAAAGTAAACATCATTACATAAAAGGGTACGGTCTTTTTTTTTTTTAGTTTTATTCATTTCAAACGGGCCGGATCCCACAGGCCGTAGTTTGCCCACGGCTGTCCTAGTTCATGGGTTGACACTCAACCACTGAGCCACACCAGCTGGGTGAAAAGGTGTTTTTAAAGAAACTTCTAAATGGGATTATCGCCCATAAAGTTAGGACCTCAATCTTTAGAGAATTTATAACCACTTAATATTTTATTTTTTTCCTTAGTCATTTTTAAGAAACTTCCTAACTTCATCAAGTACAGAAAATGAAGGACCCTGTTTACTCCCATGTTGCTTTCTCCATAGCTAGATGGAGTATGACTACTTGAATTGTATTCTTTTTTTTTTTAATATATTTTATTGATTTTTTTTACAGAGAGGAAGGGAGAGGGATAGAGAGTTAGAAACATCGATTCAGCTGCCTCCTGCACGCCCCCCCTACTGGGGATGTGCCCGCAACCAAGGTACATGCCCTTGCCTGGAATCGAACCTGGGACCCTTCAGTCTGCAGGCCGATGCTCTGTCCACTGAGCCAAACCAGCTAGGGCTGAATTGTATTCTTGACCAGTGATACTGGTGTTCTCTCAATTGAAACTTTGGTCTCAGTATATCCAGTATTTCAAATATCTTTCATACATGCCAAGCTGCACTGATAGTTACTGAAATGTTTTAGCAGTAAGCTGTTTTTCTTGTTTTAAAAATCTAGCCAAGCTTATTGTCTTTTGATAAGGTAAATAAGTATCAGGAAGACTAGTTGTTTGCATTTAAATTTCACAAGGCAAAGCAGATGATATTTGGTCTAGTCGGTCATTGTGCTTGTCCTTAACCACACAGTCACACTGGTGCCTCCTCGACCTGAGGACATGCAGAGATAGTGGGCAGAGCTTCTTCAGCAGTTAAGTCAACCTAACTGATAACTTAAAGGGGCAGTGACTTAAAATGCAAATTTTGGAGTTTGATGTTTACACCTGAGTAGATTCTCTAGTTAGCTTCTGACTATGGAAGTTTGAAACAGAAATTCTTTAAAATGCTGTTTCCTCATGTTATTTTGGTACTTTTCAGTATACATGGAGCACGAGACCCTGGTGCTGCAGTGCTATTCTGATTATTAAGAGGGTTATTTCATAAGAATCTTCCGTGGCTTCTGTGGGTTCTTGATAACGTGTGTGAAGGCTGCCCACACCTAAGTACTTCAGGGAGTCGTGGGAGAAAATGAGCAGTTCATGGCTTATGCAGCTGTTAGTCAAGACTCCCTGACTACCTTTCTTAGAATCCTTAGCTCTGTCACACCCTGAGGAGCTGCACCACGTTCTGTGTGACACTGAGAATCCGCCCTAAAGTAGACTTGTCCAGCATTTGTTTGCCTCCATCTTCTTCCCAAGAGGAATGAGAGGCAAGTGGGGCAGGGAGAATCGGGGCAAAAATAAGACCCTCTTCCACGCTCACCCCCACAGCCCAGTGCTGGTGCGCAGCGGGTCGTGCAGGACCTGCAGACATTGCACACGGCACATGCCTCAGGCGGGTTGACCCTCCCGGTGCCTGACTCACAGCACAGAAGACACAGCAAAAGTCCACCTCAGTCTGGGGGATGTGAGGTCTGTTTGCACGTGACATTTCACTAGTCATGAAATCGGACATTATTTAAAGTGTGTGTGCAGTAGAAATGGTTTAATCCCTTGAGCATCAGTCTTTGCTGTATCCCTGTCACCCACCTAGAGTTTTCTTTCTTTCTGTCCTGAAGACATATTCTTTCAAATGCAAAATGACATAATTGAATTCCCATTGCGCTGCTTTCCCTTCTACTCTCTGTGTGATTAGTAATCACTAACTTCCTGAAATAAAAAGTGTGAGTAGCACAAAAATTTTCCCTCTTAATAGCCCCTAAACAATAGTCTGTATATCTTTTCTAAAACACTCATTGAACTTTGAATTCATTTTTGTAGTTTTTAAAATAATTTAAAATCATACCTATTTAACTAGGAAATGAGACATCTAGGATTAATAAAGTACTTATTTTTTTCTTGAAGTGTTTACAGGAAAGAGAGGAACAAATAAAAATATTACAAGAAAACATCTGTGAAATACAGAAATGTACTCAAGAACAACTTGACGAAAAATCTTCGCAACTGGATGACATAATTGAGAAACTAGAAAGACACAATGAAAGAAAAGCAAAACTAAAACAGCAGTTGCAAGTAAAGGAATTAGAACTTGAAGAAATTAGAAAGGCTTACAGGTATTCTCTGTGTTTCCTGCTAAGAAGTAAACTGTGGCTTAATAACTTGTCTGACCAATTCTGTCTCTAACATTCCTTCTTCTCTTGTCAGTATCCTTAATCAGAAGTGGCATGATAAAGGGGAGCTCCTCAGTAATCTGGAAATGCAAGTAAAGGAAGTGAAGGAGAAATTTGAGAACAAGGAAAGGAAGCTGAAAGCGGAAAGAGACAAAAGTGTTGAACTACGAAAGTAAGCATGAAGCCCTCAGGCACTGGGGCCGTCTGGGAATGGGGAGGGGCAAGATGGGGAGAAGCTAAAAACATGTTGGATGAAGTTATTTGCCAAATATTGGATTTCCATTCCATTATTTCATTTATAAAGGGAAGGTACTAGTTCCCTCTTCCGTGTTGTGAGCTGTAAGTCTGTGTCTGTTGTCTGTGTTTGTGTGGAAGTGCAGTACCTGACACATGGTAATTACTGTACGTATGTTTGTCTTATTACTGCGCTTACTGTTTTCATGCTGTCTTCCTGAAAGCAGCCAGTGTGCTTGGCTGTTCATATGGCTCTCTGAGGAGTACGTTGTCTGGGGCTCTGGGCCAGAGAAGCCGGAGCCCATTTCAAAGGGGGAGAAAGCCGTTCCTGGGGCCACTTGTGTGGGTTTTGTAAGTGCTCTAGAGGAAATGCAGGTTTTACCTTGTAAACTCTGTAACTAGGCCTATTACAATAGTTTATAAAGTTGACAGCCTTGAAACTGTGTAACGCAGTTTCGGGATCAGTCTCCTGTCGAAATAGAGCGGTGTGGACAGCATGCACAGACTCCCATGGTGGTGGCTCCATTCCAGGTGTCCTGGTGTTTCCACTCCCTAAGATTAGGGGAGGTGTTATCCTCTGCAGAAAGGTTTGACGGCAGCATCTGCTGATAGCCCTGCTGCACTGTGCTTTCACAGCTACCCAGGGTCCTTGGCTCAGAACCAATAGCAGAAAAGTGTTCATTGTGGACTTTTTAAACAAAGTCACTCATATCCTATATAATAAAAGGCTAATATGCAAATTGTCCCCAAGGACAGGAGTTCGACTGACAGGGAGTTAGACGTGCGCTGACCACCAGGGAGCAGTGGCAACAGGCAGCCGGGGGAAGGGAGGCCCTGGCCGGCAACCAGCAGCCGCTAGGGACCCTACCCGTGCATGAATTTCATGCACTGGGTCTCTAGTTTAATAAAAAGGAAGTAGTGTTCTCCCTCTAAGAAACTTTTAGTACTAAACTTTTAACACTAATGTGTTTATTAACCTAGGGTTTTATCTGTTAAGCATTAGCACAGGGAAATCAGACACATCCTCCTATGTAATAAAACCTTAATATGCAAATCGACCAAATGGTGGAACGACCAGTCTCTATGATGCGCACTGACCACCAGGGGGCAGACACTCAATGCAGGAGCTGCCCCCTGATGGTCAGTACGCTCTCACACGGGAAGTGCCGCTCAGCCAGAAGCCAGGCTCATGGCTGGCAAGCGCAGCGGCCTCCGCTGCAGGTGGGCGGTAAGGAGCGAGGGGTCCCGGACGGCGAGAGGGATGTCCGACTGCTGACTTAGGCCCGATCCTCCCTCCCTCCCCCCCCCCATCGGGCCTAAACCGGCAGTCAGACATCCCCCAAGGGGTTCTGGACTGCAAGAGGGCACAGGCCGGGCTGAGGGACCTCCCCACCCCAGTGCACGAATTTCATGTACCAGGCCTCTAGTCTATGTATAAATGTAAACCTGCCTATAGTATACACTTCAGATACGTGTCACACTGCACATCCCTGGGGGAGGTGGCATCCCTGGGAAGGTACTTCCAGTCCCCTCCCACAGACTCAGGCTGGAGACCAGAGCAGGAGCTCAGAGGCAAGACTCACAGATGGGTGTGAGGTTCCCTGCCCTGTGCTGCTGGCTGACTCTGCTGGAGGGCGAGCTGCCTGTAGCTGGAGTTCCTGAGATGGAGCGCCCTTTGCTACTTAGTGGAGTTATGTGTCCATTGAAATATGAATGTGAGAGCTGCCATCTCAGAAGAAAAAGCATCCTAACTTTTATACACACCAAGATGTGGGTCTTGTTTTCTGTTTCAGGGATGCTGTGGAAAAGCTTTATTGTATGGATGATGCCTTTAAAAAACAAGTGGAGGCAATTGTTGAAGCTCATCATGCTGAAATAATACATCTGGAAAATGAAAAGCAAAAATATATTGATTCTGCAAATTTAAAGGTACTATCAGTAAATTGCACTTGATTATCATTATTGAATTGTTACAGCTAAATAAATTGAGACTGATAAAGAGAAAAGGCAGCATGATTTAATGACCAAATAGATATGAAGAATGTTGCCCAAACTATCATGAAGCCAGGCCAAAATGTTGGCAGGTTGTAGAATATAATTGCAGTGAAACTGAGGTCATGAGGGATACTGGTGTGGACCTGCTCTGTGATCTCTGAGTGAAAGTCACCATCTCCCTAACCAGCCTCAGAGCGAAGCCCCTTCGCTTGCACACGAGCAGGGTGCCATCATTCCCTTGGGAAAGTTCTCAAAAAGTAGTATTTTATCATTAATTAGGGCTCAGGACTATCACATTTGTCATATTACTATCATTGGCAAAGGAGCTTTTAGTAATAGACATGCTTAAGCTTTCCCCTGAAATTTTCATTCACAGTTTGGGGTCAGACACTAGTGTTTTTCAAACTCAACAGGTGATTCTCATGTAACCCCCCCCCCCCCCCCCCCCGCACCACCACCACCACCACCACCACCTCTTGAGATCTGCTAGCTGAGGGGGCAGTTTTGAAATTCCATTTTACCCTGATTTTGAAGTGGTAATAGGAAACAGGTACAATGGTAGTGTCCGTCGTCCCCCCCCCCCCCCTCCACACACACACACACACACACACACGCCGTTTTGTTTTCTGAGGTTTTGGTTACATGCAGTCAGTCGACCGAAATATAAAATGGAAAATTCCAAAAATAATTCCTCCCTATTGAATTCACACCATTGTGA